CAGTGATTAAACACAATAGACATTAGAATTGAACAATAATCCACCATACAGATAACTTGATATTTAATCCTGGGTGTGTTTTCTATCTTTGTTTTTCCAATCGAAACAAGATAAAGAGCTAACTACTATACAGTAGAATCATTGTGAGTCTCTAGAAATACAAAAAAATATTAATATTTCAGTCTTTCTAAGTGCTGCATAGATATCTTTATTCTGCTTACACATTTGTTTGATTTATATGGTTTTTCTCCATTTCCTTTTAAATGTTTTTTTTAACAATAGCATCACAGTATTGGCTGCAAAGCTGCTAAAGAAGGTCATGGACTTTGTAGTCCAAGCTTAAGGATGCAAAGCTCCATATGGATGTCCGAATGATTTGTTGTTGGGTATATTAATCGACGCATTCTTTGAACTGTCCAACAATTCAATGCCTGAACTACATTTTTCTGTCCCTTTATAAAAAAACAAAAACAAAATATTGATCATGAATTTACTGACATTAGGAATTATAATCATACGTAAAAACTTTAACAGCGTTTTTATGTTCCTTAATGGTTAAATCTAGTAGCAATGATCAGACAAACATTTCAGACTGTCACTTTAAATTATTTGGAAGTTCTAGAACTCAAGAAGAAAAAAGGATAAATGCTATGACTCTCTTTTGACATGAACAAAAAGATCTATTAATTATTTAAAAAAAAAAACATATCTGCAATGTTGAAAAAAATTCATGTAAATCAATGTGTTATCTATCCGGGATCCTGTCTGTCTCAGTTCATTAGTATAGTGTGTGGTTGAGTGCCCCTCATAGTGATTCATATACTTTCTTATTCAGGGTATGATACGTTCATATTACTACAGAGTTTGATAGTGTACACAAATCCGCATAAGATTTGTACACTACGAGAGTAATAAAATCAACAATACAGAACACTCCGCGGTGGCAGGCGGGTCACACAACTCAACTATAGGATTCACTTACTGATTATTAAATAAGAGTGAGTGAAAAAGCAACATTTCCTTTATGTCATACCATTTGCTAGCTTTTGGCGCTAGCGAGGTCGTAGCTTGATCAGCTTCAGCTTGTGAAAGCTTCTGAAGGTACTTTAAATATGAAATTATTACATACTGTTCAATAAATGATTAGTGTTTTTAATTAAGAGTAAGTTTCATTTTAATGTGCTTTACTGGAGACATCCATGTTTGTCAAAGTACACTACCCCCACCCACCATCTTGTTTCGTCATGGTGCGGTATCGGCTGTTGATCGAGTCCCAGTGCTGTATCTGGTGTTTGTCACAACGCACATTATCCGAGTCATCTTGAAAACATTCTTCTTCAAAATGTTGGCTAGATATTACGTGTTTTTTCTCTGGCCAGAACAATGACAAATCCTCCCTCTTCACATTGGCATTCCAACGACGAACCCGTGGTGGATCATGAATCGGAAAGGTGAAATAACTTTTTTTTTTTTTTTTACTTTTTGCCGATGTTTTACAACATCCATCTGCCATGCAAGTGGGTACTGTCAGTTTAACTATAGCTCTGGTGAATTTCAATGGTGAAGTCGTTGTTTATTGCAGATGTGTCTAGAAGTTCCCATTGATTTTGGTTGTATAGAGAGGAGAATGACGCTAATGTTACCGCATTGTGACGTCACTGATGTCAGGAGCGAATGGCCGATCTTGAACTAAGTGATCGCAACGAAAATTATTGTTTTTATTTTTTTACTGATGAACGCAAAATGTATTTAATCGCCACTGAATATTAGTTTTAGGTATAGATAATGATCCATTGATTATTCCTTGCTGACCGGATTTTCCTTTAATTTGGGGTATTCTACTTGGGATGTATACTGTTCCAATTGTCTGATTTCGCACGCTTCTGAGATCTGCACTCAAACCCTTATGTGAAGATCAATCAAGTACCAGCTTCATAAAGGGGAACTGGTGTAGTGCTGATTATGGGATGCAGTCTACCAGTTTTCTCGAAAGAGAAATGGCCATATTGGTCAAAGTGGGATTCGAGCATACTTTATTTAATTCTTTTTTCCTAACAATTTAGGATAATAGTATAAATATTGTATAAATAGTCAAGTTTGTTAACACACCTATAAAACAGGCTGAAAGCATATATTTAAATACCAGCCTTTTAACAACTTGCTGCTACAGCACTTATTTTACTCTACACATCAGGTTTTCTGTTACCTGGTTGTTGTTTATTTAAATTTGTTCATAAAATTGTGATTTTTTGTGTGGCTGTTTTGAAACATGTCGGGTTGGAATGATAGGACAGAGGAACAGTTGTGTATTTCATTTTTTATGCAGTGACAGCAACTCTCTGTTTTATTGCAGGAGCTTTACCCTTATCTCTTTAATGGCTAATGAGCAAAGAGAAGAAAATGCCAAAGTAGAAATGATTGGTCTTTATGAAAAGGGCCAACGGAAAATGGACGTCTGTCAGATAAATAAGGCACTCTCCGTGTCATTTTCTTTCCTTCCTGGATCACAGGCTGCATTTGAAAAAAGGACAACAGGGATAGCTTGTAGTTGTTTAAGTTCCTTTGCTAAGCTTGGCTAGGTTATGGTTGGCTATAGGTTAGCAGTAAGATAATTCTATTAACATAATGTATGTTTTCTGGTCTCTGATAACATAAATTCATGTTTCTTTTTAATCTTAACAAACGTTCATCATCAGCTGAAATGTAGGTCTGCAGATCTGAGCCTTCCTACTGCATTCACCATAGAGGAAAGTTTTTTTGGTAAATAAACTTGATGTAATGATGCAAACATCTAAATGTAACAGTACTTATAAAGCTTAGATATTTGGCTTATCTTTCAATAGCATACTTGATAACAGACCTTTATGTTATGACCAGCAGCTTCGAAGACCGTAAAAAAGTAATTCTGAATATAGCTTTTAATGTAGTTGTCTTACATGACTTGTTGCTGCAGTTTTCTGTCTTCATGTCTTCTATTTGTGCTGAAAAAGTTATGGGTTGGTTGTTGTTTTATTTTTTCGTACAGTGCCAAAACAGAGCTGTTGATGCTGAATTGTTGCTGACATTCGATTGTTCGCTTGGAGGGCCAGAAGCTTTGTGTTTGTGCTGGTATCGATCAGTGAAAGACAGGCTGACTTGAAAAGATTTGACCTTTTCAGTCTCCTTGTTTGTGACACATAATGCCGTTTTATATCCTGCTGTTGCCTACGGATAAATCCAATTTCTTTTAGTTAGAAATGTGCTCTGCTTTAGGCTATAGGGTTTAATTTTCCACTCTAACAGTGTTTTCCTTTAAGTATTTTTTTCCGAAACACAGTGTATGTGCTATGCATGTAACTGTGTATGTATATATATATATATA